CCTTCAGACCCTGGAAGGGGCTCTGAGGTTTCCCTGGAACTTTCTCTTCTCCAGGTGAACCCCCCTCAGTTCTCCCAACCTGGAGAATCCCAAATCCCAGGATGGTTTGGGTTGTGGGCAGGGACACCTTCCACTACACCAAGTTCCTCCAAACCCTCTTCCAACCTCAGCTACTCCAAAATTCCCAAAGTTCACCAGATATATCTTTAAAAAAGTGGGAATTTTCACCAGATATATCTTTAAAAATCTGGGAATTCCCACCTGGAACTGGTCTCTTCTGAGTCACATCCAGAGCAGCTCCTGGAGCAGCTCCTGGGGCCAGAAAGGGATTTTTTTTATAGAGCTTTCCCCAATTTGAGGTTTTATTTAATGGATGGGAATTCTGTGGCCCAAAATATTGTGTGGTTGTGATTTTCCAGAGTTATTTTAGGCAGGAATATTCTGGAAAACACCCCCAGTGCCCCCTCTGAAATCCAGGGGGATTCCTTGCTGGGAAAGGTCTGGATGGAAGAGATGCCAGAGGTGTGATCCGAGGCAGAAATTGGAATTTAAGGGGCTTTAAACATCAAATAAAAGGCTCCAAAAAAGCTCATTTTGTTCCTAATTTGGAAAATCAACCACTTGGCACCGAAGGGGGGGGGGAAAAGGTGATAATTCAAATTATTACCCAAATCTCCCACTTAAAAGTTGAATTTCCTCAGGGAAAGGTCCTTTTACCTCTTTAACTGTCCCTGTTATTTCTTCAAGTTTCTTTTTAATCACTTCTGAGGTTTTCACTGTTTCAGATTCGATGGTTTTCTGAGGGGAAAAAAAACAACATGAGGACCAAAACCCCCTCAAAAGCAGTTTAGTACAGAACAAAACGCCATTAAAGATGGAATTGAGGGCAAAAAAATTCCATTTTAGGAGCTCTTCCCTTGAGCCACCAGCTCAGTTTGGTAAAAAATGTTTAGAGCTCTCAAATTCAACTGTTTAATGCCAAATTTAATGTCAAGTTTAATGTCAAATTTAATATCTAATTTAATGCCAAATTTAATGGTAAATTTAATGTCAAATTTTAGGCAAAATTTAATGTCAAATTTAATGAAACATTTATTGTTAAATTTAATGCCAAATTTAATATCAAATTTAATGTCAAATCTAATGTTAAATTTAATGAAACATTTGATGCCAACTTTAATTTCAAA